CATTTGTTGAAAAAGCTGTCTTCCCTTCATGAATTGTTTTTGCATATTTGTGGAAAATCAGTTTGGTATATTTGTGTGGGTCTATTTTGGGGCTCTTTGTTCTATTCAACTGTCTATGTGTCTTTCTGCCAATACTACAAAGTCTTGATATAATAATGCTACATATTAGTAGTAAGTCTTGAAATCAGGTAGACTGATCCTTTCTTAGTCTACTTATTCAAAACTGTTTTAGCTCTTCCTTTGCCTTTTCATACAAATTTTAGAATAATCTTGTCTCTATTTATAAAATCTCTTGTTGGGATTTTGATAGGAATTACATTAAACCTGTGTATCGGTTTGAAAAGAATTGACATCATTATTATGTTGAGTCCTCCAATCCATGAACATGGTATGTCTCTACATTTACTTAAGTCTTCTTTGATTTATAACATTGTGTAATTTTCAGAATACAAGTTCTGTACATGCTAGTATATAGAAGTAAATTGGATTTGGATGGAGACAGGACTGGACGGGATGGCCCTGGTGGGGGCTGGATGAGGACTTTGTCAAAGGTGAGCATGGGGAAGGGTTGGAAGGGGTGGGGCCAGGACAAACTGCCCTCAGAGGAGGGGTTGGAGGCGAGATTGGAGAGGGAGATGTGGGAGGAACCAGTGGCTGGCAGCTGTGGTCTTTGCAGAAGGCTTGACGCATCCTCTGATCAAGCTTGGGAGATGGTGATGAGCAGCTGAGGGGCGGGCTGGGTCCAGGGCAGCCTGCATGTGCCATGTGGGGCCTTCTCCAAAGACACAGGGGACGGGTGACCTTCAGCCCTGCAGGGATGGCCTTTGTGGTCCTGAATTGTTACTGGGCGTCCCTGGTAACTCACCTCCTTTAAAAAGGACTCCTCTGCTCTCTGCTGGCCTGGTTTCTGAAAGATGGGAAGTTCTCACCAACGTGAGAACTGGTTACCACGTCTGGTTCCTCCAGCGTGACTCATGGCACCTGAGGCCCAGACCCCTCAGAGCCCAGGCACCCATCCTGTCCCTCTCTGCCTGCTCCCCTTGAGATGTGGGTCCGGATTTGCTCAGAGACTGGACACGTCTTCCATGTGAGCTTGTGTATGTGTGTTTATAGCAATGAAAGTGTCCTGCCAGCTTGTCAGGGAGCCAGGCCTATTGCAGAAACGCCCAGAGTTCAGGAGTGTGGCATTCGCTCGGTGAGTGTTGTGGGTGTGGTATTCCTTGGCAGTGATGCCCCCTGTGATGCCTGGCCCACCATGAATCCACGAGTTGTTGGCCTTTTTCCAGGTAACCAAAGGCACCCCCCGGGCCCAGCTCCTGTGCACGGACGGGCTGGTCAGTTAGGGCAGCGCGAAGTTCTCCTGCAGGGGGTAGGTACCAGGGTCCATGCGCCCCCTCTCGCTCGTGCGCATTTGCTGCGTGGTGGCCGTTCGGGGATGAAGCAGTGTAGGCAGATATTCTCTGCTTTGTGCGGCTTCTCTGCCTGGGAGTCCTCTGGCCCGGCCATGGCTTGGGTTCCTTTGGGTTTTCTGTTTCAAGAACTGGCCTTTCCCATCTTTTGGGGCTACCCCTCCCCTCCTAGCTGGCTGCTTTGGGGTAGTGCTCCTTGTGAGTAACTCTCAAAACTCATCTATTTACATAGATTTCTAATAGAATGGCAGAGTTTAAGCAAAAGGTATTTTAGGATTTTTATCTGGAAAAATAAAAGCATTTTTCTGGAAAAGAAATTTCATTATGCCAGTAGAAAAACCTACTTTAAAATCATTTTAAAAAGCCCTATTTTTTCCAACTTGAAGATTAATTTGTTATTAAAACGTTTTTGGAAAAGACATAGCCTGGATGATTTTATTTTATGCAGATGTGAACAAGGAGTCAGGTGCAAATGATTATTGATTTGGGGCTCCTGTGATCACATTATTATTTGGATTAAATGATTAACGCCATGAACTTTAAAAACTGATCTATCAATTTCTACCTTCTTTTGGATTCTGCAAATACTTTTACAGTCAATAGGTTTACAGAAACTCTGGAAACTTAGATTTTCATGTTCCAGTGGAAATCGTGATGTGTGTCCTCCATTTTGTTTCTCTAGCCAGTCCAGGATTTGGGAGAAACCGTTTTAGTTTATGAAGAGTGTAGTTTCCAGTTGATCAAAAGCCCCTTCCCTATATTTGCTTTAATTAATATTAATGCAAGTTGGTAATTAATATGTGACTTGGAATACAGTGGAATGTATGTTATTTAGACTAATTGCGTATTTAACAGCCTGTAAAACCAATGACATGGATAACAGTTTGCAATAGGAAAACAGAAAATGTGGAAAATGAGAGATGGTGTTGGGCTCACAGCCAGCCCACGTGACCTGCCCAGGTTCTGCAGTCATTTATCCACTGCTCCTCCATCCAGGAGCTCGCGGGACAACCTCGGAATTAGCAGCACCAGCCTCTTCTGCCCTTGCAGGACCTCGACGCTGTTTCACGAGAGTTAATGTTTTTCTTGGTTTGGATCGCTTTCAGACAGCGGCTCAGTGGCTTGCCAGGTGGGTGGCGGGGCTGCAGTGGCGGCGAAGCTTGTGGTCCCAGCTCGGTCCCTTTCCTCACCCTTTATTCCAGCGTCCTGCAGGTGCACTTAGAAAGCCTGTAATCTGTCTCACTGTGGGGGTGAGGTTCCACAATTACAAGTGTGCTTTCCAGCCCTTAGGCTCACATGGAGAATTCTGAGGCATGGCGTACTCTGGCTTGATGGAACTAATTAGGTTTAATTAAAAAATTTCAGGAATAACTCTTGGAAAACCTCCTGGGCTTGAGAGGAAAGCATGGAAGTTTCCCATGTGGAGACCCCCCTCCCCTGACTGATATCTTGCAGATGTATTATTAATGTTTTTTATCACTTTGACAATGGAATTGGGTCTCCTTTGCTCTGTTATCCTTTGATCATTGAAATGAAGCTTTGATTCTATATTTCACTCATCACTGAAACGAGTCCTTGGACCTTTAATGCCTGAAGGTAGATACCTTCAAAGAATTCTGACTTTATGGCAGCTTGCCCCCAACACTGCTGCTACCCAAACATGTTTGAAGGATGAGACTTGGGCCCTGGATTAAACAGCACTGTCCAAGGGGATCTGCTTGGGTAGCATGTGAGGGTGAGGAGGGGAGAGGGCAGGGCGGGAGACCTTCCCACCTCCCGTGACTTCACCTCTGCAGTGTTGCTTCCACAGCTGTACTGACACCAGCTGGAGTCTTTTGGTGCAATTTCGTTCGGAGCTTGGCCACCCAGAGTTGGCATAGAGCCTGTAAGTTAAAGAGCCAGTTCCCACAAGGCTGTCCTCACCTCATTTGGGGTTTCCCAGGTCACCCACACTTCTGTCCAACTTGGCTCCAAATTCAGGGATTCCTATAGCACCCTCTCAGGTTTAACAATTCACTGGAATGACTCATAGGGCTCAGGAAACATTATGCTCACCATGATCACTTTATTATAAAGGGTACAAACCATTGGTTGAAGAAAGAGGTACATCAATGAGGTCTGGAAGGGTCCCAAGTTCAGGGGCCACTGCCCTGAGAAGTTGGAGTGCTTCATCTTCTGGTGTATCCATATGATTGTCAATCAGGAAGCTCCCCAACCCCCTGGCCCAGAGTTCTTACCCAGTGTGTCTGAGCAGTCAAAACTACAGTTTTCCCAGTGGTCATGTATGGATGCGAGGGTTGGACCATAAAGAAGGCTGAGCACCACAGAACTGATGCTTTTGAACTGTGGTGCTGGAGAAGACTCTTGAGAGATCCTTGGACTGTGAGGAGATCCAACCAGTCAATCCTAAATAAACCCTGAATATTCACTGGAACGACTTTTGCTGAAGCTGAAGCTCCAATACTTGGCCACCTGATATGAAGTGCGTACTCAATGGAAAAGACCCTGATGCTGGGAAAGATTAAAGGCAAAAGGAGAAGGGGGCAGAAGAGGATGAGATGGTTAGATGGCATTACTGACTCATTCATTGGACATGAATCTGAGCAAACTCCAGGAGACAATGAAGGATAGGGGAGCCGGCATGCTGCAGTCCATGGGGTTGCAAAGAGTCAGACATGACTTACCAACTGAACAACAACAGCGTTCTGCAGGCATGGCTGGCTCAATCACTGGCCGTGTGGTTGAGCTCAGCCTCTAGCCTCCCAGTCCTTGGAGGCCAGGCAGCTGAAAGTTCTAGCTCTGGAAACCCCAGGTGGTTCCTTTTCTGGAGACCAGCCGCATCCTGAAGCTCCATCCTTCCTCTCCTAGAGTCGCCTCATTAGCATAACCAAGACTCCCTTGCCCCTGGTACTTAAGAAATTCCAACGGATTTTGAAGCTCTGTGCAAAGACCAGATCTCTTTTTCATTAGATCACAGTGGTCTTGGGCAAAGCGCCTGAAACTCAGGCCAAGCTATGCATTCCCAGATTCTGGTCACACATTGGCCAGGAATGGCCAGTTCAAGTGACCTTGTGGAAGGGCTGCTCCCCAACCTTGCAGGTCAGCTGTCCTTGCAGTGCAGGTGCTCTGGGGCTGCGACCAGGTCCCCACTCACCCCAGAATGTGGCTCTGGAACTCGGAGTCTGGAGACCAAGACCTAGTCTGTACCATTCACTGAAGTCCTCAGAAGTGGCACAAGAAACGCTTGTTGAATTCACGCTTCACACACTGAGATGTGACAGACAGAACCAACAAATGAGAGAAGATAGATAAGAACGTGGCATTTTCTAGATATGACCTCGGAGGAGATTATTTGGGGGAATTCATTTGCTCTAAGACTTACGCTTTGCTCTTGTCATCCAGACCTCAGCAGAGGGACCCTGTTCAAATGAAATTGCTCAACTCTCACACGCAGTGAATATGCACGCACACACCATTCCTTGTGGGGTCTAAACCTAGTTTCCACCCCCCCAGGCAGGGTCAGCATGCCAGGACCTGCGGGTCAAGTCTGTCTCCTTGTCTGCCTTCAGATGAAGACCTTGGAACCCAGTCCTATGGGTTCACAGTGTCTGGTCTGCTTCTCTGATGCTGGGCAGGGTTGAGAAGCTGCCGCAGAGACCCCGCGGCCTGCAAAGCTGAGAATTCTCTCTCCTGGCCCTTCACGGAAGGACCGCTGGTCCCTCCGCCTCCCCAGCGTGTTAGCTGTCCTGCAGGTCCCCAGCAGCGGCCGACGCCTCGTATGGCGTGACTGCGGCCTCCCCGCGGGGCCTCCAGACTCTGCCCTGCGGGCTTCCTGTCTGAAGCAGCGGGCTCACGGTGGGGGGCGGGGGGGTTTGTCAGAAGGCACAGTGCTCTGAAGAGGGGCCGCGTCTGTCCTTAGCGGGAGGAGCCGCAGCCAGGGTGGTTTCAGGTTGTATTTATTAACATCTCCCGTCTGTTACACTGTCCCCACAGGTGGAGACAGGGTGCTGCCAGGGTCTTGATCCATGGGGACCCCCGGGCGCCAGGAGACCTCCACCCCCGCCTGCTCTTCTACAGTGAAAATGAAGACGCCGCAGCCTGAGACGGGGTTTAAGGAATTACAGAGGCTCCCGGACCGTCTGATCGGCCGCCTTTCCCCAGTCCAGCTGGTGCCGGCCCGTCCGGAGGAAACCCTTCCTGCAGGCCCACTGTGTCCCTCCTGGGCACCCTCCTGGGCGTCCCCGGGTGTCCGCTGACCTTGCTGCTCCCTTGGTGCTGTTTTCCTGAGGAGCTCAGAGCCAGGCACCTGAGCTCCTGAGGCTCCCGAGGGCCCTCAGGCTTTGGGACCCCTTCCATGACAGCGGACACGTCACAGGAGGGAGGGTGGTGGTGCGTGGGGGATGGTTCTCACCGGGGGCCCGTAGGGGTGGGGGCTCCCCCCATCTAAGCACTTCATCTTCGGAAACTGCGCTTCGACTTCTGACCTTATCAGATCTGGAAAGCGAAACTGACAGTGTTAGTTTCTCCAGGTGTGAATACTGGAGTGGGTAGCCATTCCCTTCTCCAGGTCTGCCCTGCCCAGGGATCGAGCCTGGGTCTCCTGCATTGCAGGCAGATTCTTTACCATCTGAGCCGCCAGGGAAGCTTCTCAGGTCCTGGATTTAGTTAAACCTTGAAGTTGGTCCACGTGCTGACATCTGGGGAAGCCCTTGATGTTTTCTGGCTGAGTCGAGGGCCGTGGGGCAGGACGGCCCAGTCCACTGTCACTCTGGCCGAGCTGACCGAGGGGGAAAGGCACTTCAGGTCAGCTGCTGCTGCTGCTGCTAAGTCGCTCAGTCGTGTCTGACTCTGTGCGACCCCATGGACAGCAGCCCACCAGGCTCCTCCGTCCCTGGGATTCTCCAGGCAAGAACACTGGAGTGGGTTGCCAAAACTCAAAGCCAATCACACCTCAGAAGGAACTTGAGCCCACAATCTGTGGCTTAGGAGGGAACTCAGAAGGTCACCTTGCATTCAGAAATACGCAACCTTTACAGTTAGGGTCTGCCCCAGGGGTGGAGCCCGTTGACTGTCCTTGAATGCACGTGGACTCCCAGGCGTGGGCTGGGTGTCTCCGCCACTGAGGCTGCTGCCCCTGCTTCTGGCCTGGTCGTTGCTGCCGGGGCCCAGACTCCCCTCTGGGGGACGTCATGCCTGACCAGTGGCCCCAAGTGCAGCCACCAGGGACCTCCCCCGGGGAATCCCGCACTCTGCTGCTAGCACTGCTCTGCTCTCTGGAAGCCCCAGCCTCCTGCAGCCTGCACCACCCACACGGCCCCAAGCTGGGCTGGGAGCGCCTGGGCCTGGGGGACCTGCCCCGTCCTGCACGGGGACGCTTCCCTGCCTGATCTCCCCGCCCGCACCAGGTGCCCACTGGACTCCCATGGCCCATCCCCTGCGACGTGTAGGTTCACGTCTGGTCTCCGTTGAAGGAGGCTGCAGGGCACCAGGCGGTCTGACTCAGAATCTGGCCCATTTGGGGCCTGTGCCGTAGCTGTTTCGGTATCAATCTGATTCAGCATGAAGGCAGTTCTGGTTTGGCACATAGCAGCGGCAATTCGGCAGCTAATTGTTGTTGAATTAATAAATGAGTGACCGAAACAGCTGTTTTTGCTGCTGATTTTAAAAAAATAGAGAATTTCACTTACACTCAAGTGTTAGTTGCTCAGTCATGGCCGGCTTTTTGTGACCCCATGGACTGCAGCCCACCAGGCTCCGCTGTCCATGAGATTTTTCAGACAACGATACTGGAGTGGGTTGCCATTCCCTTCTCCAGGGGATCTTCCCGACCCAGGGATTGAACCTAGGTCTCCCGCACTGCAGGCAGATTCTTTACCAACTGAGCTACAGGGAAACCCTAGATACACTCAAAAAGCTCACTGAAATATTTCCCGAGGCACCTGGAACCTTCGGGGGCAGCTGATGCTGGGTCAGGAGCAGGTGCGAAATCCAATGCCGCCCCTTGCTTGTCTGCCTGGTGAGCCGGGCACTATGTCCTCCGTCTCGGCCTCCTGATCTGCGCGGTGTGGTCAGAGCCTCTGCAAGAGGGTGAGCGGGCCATGCTGGGAGGTGCCCAGAGCAGGAGCGTGGCTGTGAGCGGGGGCTTCCCACGCACACCCACGCGCGCTCCTGAGCTTGGAAATGAACGCCCTGAGGGGCAGCTCTTGCTTCCCTCTGCAAGGCTCTGTGCTGGCCCTCCTCTGCACCCGCGTCAGTGGAGGGGCCCCTCTGTGGCCCCCAGGAGGTTTTCTGCTCAGGCTCTCATCGGATGAAGTCAGAGGGTTGGCCGGGTTGGGTTCCCTGCTGGAGGTTTTTGGGACAAACCCCTTCTGCTCATTTGCTTGCTGGCAGAATTCAGTTCTGTGAGGTTGCAGGACTGACGTCCCGGGTCCCTGCTGGCTGTCTGCTGGGGCGGTCCCCAGGTTTTGGAGGCTGTCGCACCCCTCGGCTCCTGGCCGGCTTCCTCTGCCGTCAGAGCCCGTGGTCCCTCCTGCTTCCACTCTCTGCGCCCTCCCTGCGGCCACGTCTCTCTCTTCTGCTCCAGTTCTGCCTTTATGGGCTCATGTGACTACACTAGGCCGACCCAGATAATCCTGGATATGCTCCTGATTTTAAAGTCAGCTGATTAGGGACCTTAATTCCATCTGTAAAGTCCCTTCCCAGTGATAGCGAGGTGAATAGTGTCTCTTCAAAGTTCATGTCCACCAGAACTTCAGGGTGACCTTATTTGGAAATAGGATCATTGGAGCTGTAAATAGTTGAGGCCCAAGATTAGACTGGATTAGGATGGACCCTGAGTCCAGTGACTGGTGTCCTTATGAGAAGAGGAGAAGAGACACAGAGACCTAGAGAAGAAGGCAGAGCCAGAGCTGGAGTGACGTGTCTGCAAGCCCAGGATGCCGAGGACTGCCAGGAGCCACCAGAAGTTGGAGGAGCCAGGAAAGATGATTCCTCAGAGCCTTCCGAGGGAGTGTGGTCCTGCTGACACCTGATACTGACTTCCGGCATCTGGAACTCGAGAGAATACTTTTCTTTTGTGTTAAGATATTTTAATCCTAAAGGAAATCAACCCTGAATATTCATTGGAAGGACTGATACTGAAGCTCCAATACTCTGGCCACCAGATGCAAAGAGCCAACTCATTGGAAAAGACCCTGATGCTGAGAAAGATTGAGGGCAGGAGGCGAAGGGGGAAGCAGAGGATGAGATGGTTGGATGGCATCACTGACTCAATGGACATGAGTTTGAGCACACTCCGGGAGAAGCTGAAGGACAGGGAGGCCTGGCGTGCTGCAGTCCATGGGGTCACAAAAAGCTGGACATGCCTTAGGGACTGAGCAACAGGAAGCCTCTCAGTTGACGGTGTTTGATGTGGAGGCCCCAGAAAGTGAGTGCAGATGGCCATGTCTAGACTAGAGTTTGGTGGGAAAACCAGAGGATGGAAACTGGAGGGACGTATTTTTTTTAATATGTAGTTTTATTTGTCTGGCTGTGCTGGGTGTTAGCTGCGGCACGTGGGATCTTCGATCTTTGTTTTGGCAGGCAGGGTTTTTAGTTGAGGCATGTGGGCTCTAGTGCCCTGACCAGGGATCAAACCCTTGTGACTCTCCAGTGCAGAGTGACCCTGCATTGGAAGCGTGGGGGTCTTAGCCTCCGGACCACCAGGGAAGTCCCTGGAGGGGACTACTTCTGAATCCTGCCTCTCACAATGTGCTGCAGTCTTTTGTATTGTAAATGCAAGGGACTGGGATGTGAAATGTGTGTGCTTCCCATATTTATAAAGATAGTCTGTCTAGGGTGCTGGTGCTGTGACAAAATGATGTACCTGATTCAGACAGCTCTCTAGACTTTTCATTCTGTATTAGCCATCTGAGTGTTAGAAACCAGAGTTAATTAATAAGGCATATTTTTCGCCAGGGAGTAATGCAACCATGATGTAAGATTTATTCCCCGTCAGTCTGAATGAGCAAGGAGAGGTTGAGGCAGAGGGAAGGCAGCAGGAAGCCTGTCAGTGATTAAATCTGAAGGCGCCAATGACCCTACACGCTGAGAAGGAGGAAGGACGTGACTGTCACAAACGCCGGGACCTTTACCCAGAGGGTCGGCCCTTATTCTCTCCTCTAGATGCAAACACTTCCTCTGGATCTATCTCCGTGGTGTGGGGAAAAAATCAATATGAATATCCTATAGCTAGACTATGAAGGAGATAGGAACGTTTTCCCCGAATAGGACATTAAGAGTGAGGACTTCTGAGTCACACTGCTTTATGATGGAGGTTTCGTTCAGTTAGTTCCCTGACAACCTAGCATCCCTTACCTGCATCCCTTTAATTGTATGCTTGGGTATGCAAATGTGTATGTCAGTCCTTGGGGCCAAAAACACCTGGATGTTGGGGGAGAAATAAGGCCAGTTACTTCTGTGAGTGAAGGAAGGTCAACCAAGGTCACCGAAGCTTAGGTGTGGTCTTGGGGGGATGCGGTGAGGCCAGGCAGCAGGCAACCCTAGATCCCAGCGGCTTGAAACCAGAAAGGCTTTGTCTCCCTCTCTGACTCTTCCTCTCCATCTGACACTGGAGGGTCCTCGCTCAGGGGACTCACCGTCTGCGGGGCTGGGAAACCAGAGCAGGAGTGTCCAGCCCTGGGGACTAACTGCCCGGCTGAGGCGTGCCCGGGCAGGTCTGCTCAGTCTCACTGTCCGGCCTGGGTGCATGGTTGCCGTGGCTTTGGGGGAGGGGGCAGCCGCCTCCCGTGCCCCCGAAGAGATGCACCAGCATGGATGTTAGGGGGGCCTGCTGCGGGGGCGGGTGACGGTCTAGCTGTCATCCCGTCTGCAGTGATCCCAGAGCAGACACAGGATCTCAATGGACTTAGTGAGCAGGTAACTATGTCATCACCCCACACACAGGGTGGACGTTTCCAGGGCCAGAGGGTGAACTGTAACTGGTTGAGTTGTGTCCCCCCCCAAAGACATATCTGCCTGGAACCTCAGACCGTGAGCTTATTTGTAATAAGGGACTTTGCAAATGTAATTAAGGATCTCGGGCCTTTAATCCAAAGCTGAGTCTTTATAAGGCAAAGGAGGCGGAGCCAGATGCAGATGCATGGAGCGAAAATCCTTTCGATAGTGGAGGCAAAGATTCGTGTGATGCGGCCACAGGCAGAGATTTCCAGGTTGCCAGCTGCCCCTGGAAGCTGGATGAGGGAAGCAAGGAGTCCCTCCTGGCACCTTTGGAGGGAGAGTGGTCCCAGCGACACGTTGGTTTTGGACCCCTGGTTTCACATGAGAGCGTGAATTTCTGTTGCTTTAAGCCCCAGGTTTGGGGTGTTTTATTTGGCAGCCATAGGAAACTGATACAGACTACCATGGAAAACTGATCCTGCAAGATAGCTTTTGAGAAATTATATACTTCTCCCTTTGCTGTGCCTTCCCCTTCCCTGCTCCAGGCTTCTCCTCCCCCTGCTTCCCTTCTCTTATTTCTAGTAAGGAGCTAAAGGCAACCGCAGTCTGAGGCCCCTCCTGGAGGCGGGACAGGGAGAGAGGGGGATGGGCCTGGGAGTAGAGGGGGTGCACTCAGGACCCCGCTGGGAGAGAGGGCGCGGGTGGTCCGGGGAGCTGCGGGAGGCGGTTGGACAGGTGGGGTGCGAGCATCTCCCTGCAGGGTTGAGCCGCAGGCAGCTGGCCGCGTGTCTGCAGTGGGACCACCTGGTGGATCTGAGTCATCAGTATTCATGCTCCGTGAGGTGCTGCAAGGCTGCCTTTGCAAACAGGCATTGGGGCTTAAAATTCTGTTTAAACCGAGTTATTGACCAGCAGCTGATAGACTGATTTGTCTTGACTTGGGGCGGGTGCGGGTGTGCCGAGTCGCTCCTGTTGTGTCTGACTGTGTGACCCTGTGGACTGTAGCCCGCCAGACCCCTCTATCGAGGAATGGCCGCCTTGGGTCTGGAGCTTGGGTTGGGGCTGCCCGGCCTGCAGGGGTGTGGAGGGGCAGGAGGGGCCTCGGAGACTTCACAGCAAACCCCCCTCTCCCCACCCAAGGGCCTGATGCTGAAGTTTCCGGGTGCCTGACGGGTCTGTGTGGAGATCCCGGACCAGAGCTGGAGGGGAGTCCGCTCTCAAGGGGCGGGCAGACCCTGTCTTTGGGTTTCAGCCTTGGGCACCTTGTGTTCCCTTCTGGAAAATCACTCTGCTTCTCTGAGTCTCGTCCTTCCACCTGTGATGGGGGAGCCCCTTTCCTGGGGTTGCCATGGAGATGAATGTGATACAGATCAAGTGCCCTGCAGGGAGCCCTCCACAGAAGGGCCCTGAAGAGAGATGGAGGAGGACTGGGGAGAACGCCCCCTGTGGGGGAGGGTCCCCTGAGAATGCCGGCCGTGCACATGCTCCTCTGGCTCCTGGAAGCAGACAGACAGGAAGGCCAGCCCCAGGCCTGTGGGGAGGGCTGGGGTGGCCCCAGGCCTGTGGGGGGGGGCAGGGTGGCCTGCTGGAGGCCAGCTGTGCTGTGTCCCTAGCCTGGGAGGACCACCCTTGCCAAACACAGAGCCCCCAAGACAGATGTGACCCAATTGCCCTGAGCTGCCCTAAAGATGTAAAATTTTACAGAGCATACCTGGCCTCAGGCTGCCAGATGCTGTAATGAAAATTTATACATTTTTGCAAATCGCAGCAACCCAGCTTCCTGGTGGCAGAGGCCTCTGCTACCTCCTGTCCAGGGAGCTGGGGAGTCCTGGGTCCCCCCACACCTCCCCTCCCTGCGGTGATGGGGGGTTGACAGCGGCCGCCGGGCCCTCCCCTCAGCTTTTCGTGGCTGATCCTGGCCACTTGCAGAGGCTGAGAGCAGCAGGCTGAGGCAGCCTCTGTCTGCCAGGTTAAACCCCCTTTATCTCAAGGCTCTGCTGTCTCTAAACAATTAGTGGGTTGATCTCAGTTCTTGATGCAGAGTTGAGCACGTCCTCTGTGGATTGGAGCTCAGCAAATGAAGTGACTTCCCGGGGGGCGGGTCTGTTTGATGAGTCCCAGCTCTTGGTCCTTTTATGGCACCTTTCTGCAGTTCTGCTGTCAGTCAGCTCCTCTGTTCTCAGGACACCCCTGCGGCAGGCAGAGAGGAGTCCTGGGCCCCCGTCTGCAGGGGGAGCGGTGTTGGGGGGTGACTGCCCGGTGCTGGAGAAGGAGGCCACCCGGGGCCCCGCCGGCTGCTCCCCAGGCCTCCACATGGTCTGATCCAGGAAACCTCCCCCAGCTCCCCCTCCCCGGCTCCCCCTGGTGCGGGCCTGGTCCAGGCAGGCTGATCTCTTTCCTCCAGGGAGGCTCCCTCTCTGTAGCTCTGTCCCTCCCCCAGGAGCGGGGAGCTTCCCCTGGGAAGGGGAGCGCGCTGCAGTGGACTCACCATTTGTCACTGTCTCACGGTTGGTTGTCCTCCAGTTCCCGGACACCTGGTCCGCCCGCATTTGAATACGGGTCTCGCTGCTGCCCCTGGAGGGGCTGTAATTGGAGGTGCCCGCACCATATACCTTCCCAAGGTCCCAAATGATGAAGCACACGGCTCTGCCTTGCGCCCCGACACCCAGCCAGGGGTGGCCGCCCTCCGTGTTCACACAGGCCCGGTGCTATTCATTACAGTGTTAATGTGGACGGGAAATAGGAATTTCAAGGGTTTGATGAAATTAAGACTTTCCTGTTAGCCGGCACGACTCAGAAGGGGGTAGAAATACATCAGCCTGCGTGTTTGAAGACCGGGAAGCAGGCAAGCAGGTGGCCTGGACTAAGGGGCCTTTGAGGCATAATATAATTTACAATCCTCCTGTTTGCTGTGATGTCTCTGCTAAACACGCTTCTCCCAGGCTAATGAAGCAGGGCTCTGCTCTGACTAATCTCTCCGTTCTGATGAGAATATTCAAACGCCCTGCGCGGAAGCAGGTCAATGGGCGATTGCAACGAACAATGGAAGCAGATGTTGGGGTCTGCCCAGACCATCAATAGCCAGGGTGCTGAGAGCGCTTGGATGGAAGGCCCTTGTGGGGCTGGGGGCCAGGAACCCTGCGTGGCCACAGGAGACAGACTTGCTGCTGGTTCGGAACCCTCTCCCGCGCTGCGGAGGTCAGCTGTCGGCGGGCCTGAGTCCAGCTCATTACCTGCGTCGTGTATCTCAGGCGCTGCAGAAACAGTCAAGCCAGGAGGCTCACCACTTTGCTTGGATGTCTCCTGGAAAGTTCAGTGAACACACAGGCTCCGTCACAGAGGGGTGTGATTCGGAGAGGAACTGTGAGCGAAGGAGCCCAAGAGACAAGTCCGGAAGCTGCCCAGCGTGGGGACCTCCGCTCCACCAGCAGTTACTGGGCATCACCACGTGTCACAGTGCGCTCTGCCCGCTGCAGAAAGCCAGCGGTGAGGGGGGCCTGCCCACGAACCTGGCAGAGGACTCAGGGACCCGGGCTCCTGGGGAGCAGGGAGCCTGAGTGGAAGGGCCTGCCCAGGGGTCGGGTGACCCGAGTGACGCTGTCAGCCCACTGTGAACTAGCGGGAGGCCCCAGCGCTGGGCAGCCATGGTGGGCAGAGGCGGTGCGTCCCCTGCAGAGCCCGGGCTGGGGGAGGGCCGGCAGCCCATCTGTCAGGACCCGGGGCTTCACGCTCAGCGGACCCGGCTCCAGCGTTTGCTGGTTCCCGTCGTCAGCGTCTTCCTCTGCGAGGAGACAGCTGCACGTCCGTGCGCCAGGAATGTGGGTGCTGGGAGAGCCAGTGGCATCAGGAGTGTGATGCAGGCTGGTACAGCTGATCCGCGGTGACGTGGGGAGCTGGTGTGAGGTTGGCCGCATTTGTTTCCTGTTGCCATAGTAGCGGATCATCACAGATTTAACAGTTGAACACAACACCAGTTTATTATCTCAGTTTCTAGAGGTCAGGCTCTGGCTAAGATAAAGTCAGTTTTGCAGCAGGGCTGTGCTCCTCCCAGGGGCTCTGGGGAGAAGCCACTTTTAGGCTCATTCAGGATGTTGCCTGAATTCAGTTTCTCGTAGGGGTTGTAGGACTGAGGCCCATTTCTTTGCTGGCTGCCGGCTGACAGTTCAGTTTTCTCCAAGAGGCCTCTCTTGGGTCCTTGCAGGAGAGTCCCTACCTCTCAGAGCCAGCAGCAGAGCACCGAAGCCTCTCATGCTTGATTTCTCTCTGGATTACCTTTCCGCTGCCTCCCTCTTGCTCCAGCGAGAGGAAGTGCTTTGCTTTTAAGAGCATGTGATTAGACCCCGAGACAATCTTCGTATTTAAGATCCTCCCTGTGTGCTCAGTCACCCAGTCGCGTCCAGCTCTTTGTGACCTCATGGGCCAGCGGCTCTTTACCAGCTGAGCCACAGGGGAAGCCCAAGAATACAGGAGTGGTAGCCTATCCCTTCTCCAGCGGATCTTCCCAAGCCAGGAATTGAACCGGGTCTCCTGCATTGCGGATTCTTTACCAGCTGAGCCGCAGGGGAAGCTCCGATTTCACTTGTATGCTCATTCGCTCAGTCGTGTCCGACTCAGTGTGACCCCGTGGATCGTAGCCCGCCAGTCTCCTCTGTCCATGGGATTCTCCAGGCAAGAGTACTGAGGTGGGTTCCCATCCCCTCCTCCAGGGGGTCTTCCCGACCCAGGGATCGCACCCACATCTCTTATGTCTTCTGCATTGGCAAGTGAGCTCTTTACCACTAGCGCCACCTGGGAAGCGCAACATTGCTACTAGTGGCACCTAATTGTTAATGTATTTGTTTGGCCGCAGCGGCTCTTGGTTGTGGGACATGGGATCTTTGGGGCGGTGCGGGGACTTCTCTCTCTAGGATCTTGTGGGCTCTAGAGTGCAGGCTTCATAGGTGTTGCATGGGCTTATAGCATGTGGGACCTAGATCCCCGACCAGGGATCAGACTCGGGTAACCTGCATCGGAGGGCGGATTCTTAACCACTGTACCACCAGGGAAGTCCTGATAACTCAGTTTTAAATATGTTGAAACGGGTGCTTAGAGAGGCCCAGTGACTCGCCTGGGTGCTACAGCTGGTGGATTCCAGAGATGGGGGCCGAGTTCCCTTGGTCTAGTCTGTCTCCAAAGTCATAACTGTCGGTGGTGGTCTCGTGTGTTGTGATGCTATCAGGATTGCATTATAATTTTGTGTATAAATAATAAAACAGCCCTCAGTGCTGGGCGCACAAGAAGAGCCTGGTGCTTTTGGAGATGGCAGAGCCCCAGGTGTGGGCTGGCAGGTGAGACCACTGTTCACAGATGTTTATTCCCTTGATTCTTTGCCTCCTCTTTGCTCCTCGTCCTCCACTCACCCCCACACCTCCTGTGACGTCGAGCTTGGCCATGTGACTTGCTTTGGCAGGTGGAACTTGGAGGGAAGTGCCAGCATGCCAGCTGGAGCCCAGTCCCTGCTGGGCATTGCTCATTTCTGCCCCTCCAGAGCTTCTGTCGTCTGCTAGGGGATCATGACCCTGGGGTCTGCCTCTCTAGATGGAGACTCGACTCATGGAGCAGTCTGAAGTTGACCCCAGTACAAAATAGAGCTGCCCAGTCACACCTCGACTTACTGGTGAGAAATAAATGCTTGTTGCCTTGTTCCTTTGAGACGTGGTGCTTGTTTGTTACACAGAAAACCTGACAGATACGGCTGGGATGTAAATACTTTGCAGGTTGGAGTTAGGTTGTCTCAGGGGCAGGGTGTTAAGGCTCGAGAGGAATTAATCGAGTTATTTGTTGCAAACTTGGCAAGTCCTGACCTGTAAGTAGTACCTGCCTTTCGGTCTTCCTGGTTATCTTCACGCTCTGAGTTCCCTCCTGAGGGAGTCCTGCTGCATTCCTGTTGGTTGGTGCTGCCCGGGGAGTGATGTCGGGCACGCTCTGCCCCTGGGCTGAGGGTTCAGGGCCTGCCATCACATCCTGACCCCCTGGAGACCCTGCCCTTCTCCAGATCGTTTCTGCCCTCTGGTCTCCTTGTGAAGGATGCTGAGATAAAGGGTGTGTGTGCAGAGGGTCTATTTGTGGCTTCACCTGTTCAGTGAACATTTACTGAGCACCTGCTCTGCTCAAGCTCTTGATGACGGACCCACAGATGCCAAGTGGTTCTTGTCTTCTAAGAGTCTCACGGGGCTTTGTTCAGACCCCATTCCAGGCAGAAGGTGCCACGTGTGAAAGACAGGAGCCGAGACACCCCCAGCCCTCGGGAGGAGATGGGACCCCCTTCAGCTGGCAGTGGTGGGGCCGCTTCATGCACGTGGTGCCATTTGAACTTGAGGAATACTTCTGTCACATGTTCATTGATCCAAAAAAATGTTCATTTACCATCTATTAAGTGCCAAGCAGAGTGACGGTGAACATGGCCGTGTCCCTCTCTTTGTGGGCTGCAAGACCTGTGACTGCAGAGAAGGAAGAGGCAGGATGCTTCAGAAAATGGGAACAGCTTAAGAAAAGACATTTTCTTACTGAAGTATAGTTGGTTTGCAATGTTGTGTTAATGACCGCTGTTCAGCAAAGTGACTCAGTTATATGCATATATACATTCTTTTTGTGTTCTTTTTCCTGATGGTTTACCACCGGATATTGAAGATAGTTCCCTGTGCCACACAGTAGGATCTTGTTTTTCTGCTCTCTATATACTAGTTTGCATCCGCCAATCCCAGACTCCCGATCCACCCCTCATCCACCCCCCACCCCCATGGCAAACACAGGTCTGTCCTCTATGTCTGTGAGTCTGTTTCTACTTTGTAGATAGGTTCGGTTGTCCCGTATTTTAGATTCCACATTTAAGTGATATCATATGGTATTTGAGAAAAGAATATTTTAAAATAGGATTTGGGGAACACTGGAGATCAAAAAATGATTTGATCTGAGTGACGTGTCATTGCAAATTAAGAAAGTCTCAGAGTGGTTTGTCTTTATCAACTCTTTGTGGCTGCTAAGAATGGTAGTAGTGAAACGGTCCAGAAAACCTATCACTTACAGAGAACTGTGTTAGTCAGTTTAATTTCCTCGACTGGGAGGAGAACTCAGTGTGATTCTGTTGGCTCTGATGAGATGTCCATGAACAACTTGTCCATCTCTAATCACATTAACCTGCCAGACGGGACACACGCTGGGTAACAAAGGCCACGTGGGGTTAGAAACGCACCCGTTTGGAGAAGAGCATCAGGATTTGGAAAATTCTAAGTTATGTGAAAGATCTGGGCATGTAAAGTAATGATGTCCAGAGTGAAGCTTTCATGGTATCTCTGCACCATGATCAGAGCCTGCCTTACCCACCTTGAAGGCACAGCTGGTTTCCGTCCTGGCCAAGAATCAGTCGACCAGCCCCCTAGAACCTGCAGCCTTGGCTAGACTGAGATATGCTTTCCCTACTTCCTTTGGGTCCTGAATCACAGAAGGTAGAGAAATAAGTCATCTTTTAAGATTATTATAACACTGACAAGATTTAAGTTACATATAAAGAAGTCAATTAAGTCTGTACCATTTATATTTAGACTGGGACTGAGTGAGTGCAGTAATAACCTGTATAATCATCTTATTTATGAATGCTTTTCTGCAGTTTATGTTCTTGAAGGCTTCAAAATAGTCTGTCATGTTTTATTTGTAGATATGATTTAAATTATTTAAGGGAATTGAATTAATTTCACTTGTAAACATTGCTTAAGAATAATTATTATCTAAGTTTTGTTTCTGAAGTATGTTGAGAATTACATTTTAAGAAGTATGAATGCCCTTCTAGCCACAAAACCACTACGGACATTAAAAATCCTAGGGCACAAGGAAAGTGAAAGTGAAGTCGTTCAGTTGTGTCTGACTCTTTGTGAGCCCATGGACTATAGCCTACCAGGTTCCTCCATCCATGGGATTTTCCAGGCAAGAATACTGGAGTGGGTTGCCATTTCCTTCTCCAAGGGCACCAGGGTTTTCTCCTATATCGTGATGATAGATTATATTAAATTTCCTAATATTGAACCATTCATTCACTTGTTAATTCAACCAATTACAAAGAATGTGTCCTATATAGAGAAGATTCTTGTTATCAAGGGGCTTGATGTTCAGACCACTGGTTCCCAAAATGTAGTTGCTAGACCAGTGGCATCAGTATCACTTGGAAACTCATTAAAAACACAGATTTTTGGAACACTGCCCACACCCAGCCCTCAACCTGCCCACAGACCCCTTGAATCAGAAACTCTAGGCTGAATGCAGTCTCCTGTGGTTTAACCAGTCTCAACAGCAGACTCAGACACTCAACTCAAGGGTGAGGACCACTGGCTTAGATTTTCTCTTTCTTCTTGGGTCAGTTTTATATTTCATGTTTACCTAGAAATTGCCCATTAAATCTATGTTCTCAAATATATTATTGTAGAATTGTGAATGTATTTATTAATATTTTTTAATAAGTCTGTTTCTGCAGGTGTTTTCTGTTAGACTGTACGTTAAACCATCTTCCCACACATTTCCAACTGATTTTTGGACATTTTGAAGCAGATCGTTCCTGTGACCCCTTGTTTGGGTGACCCCTGTGCAGATGTGAAGTCCTCTTTGTCAGGTCTGTCAGCTTCACTCACACAGAGGTGTAGAATGATGGCAACAGCCCCTCCCACCTGATTCACATCAAAGCAGAAGGTTGACGTGCTAGATGTGAAGAGCTGACGCATTGGAAGAGGCCCTGATGTTGGGAAAGACTGAAGGCGGGAGAAGAAGGGGATGACAGAGGATGAGACAGTTGGATGGCATCACTGACTCAATGGACGTGAGTTTGAGCAAACTCTGGG